ATTTTCAGCATAGTAAATGAATAGGCTGAATATACTGTAAATCGACACTAACTACTCTGTGTATTTAACAGAAAGCACTTAAATTTGTATTGTCTTATGTTAAAAAGATTATTAAGAAGATTTAAAAGAATATTAAAAAGATTTTTCTTTAAAAGATGTCTAATGTACAAAACTGCTAATGTTTATCTTTAAAAATGTCTAATTTTTAGTATAATCTATACTATACACTAAATTTGGTTATAAATAAATTTCTTAATAATATCACTGCAGATTTTCAATAACACATGAAAATGAATACATAATATTACAAAAGATGTGAGCTTTCAAAAGTACAAGATTTTGGTTACTATTCAAAATATAAGTGTTTCTTCAAAATTTTAAATTTATTTTTTCTAGAACATATTTAGAAACACTATCCTTTATAAAAAAATATATAAATTTTATGTATTAATTAAATTTCACATATGAATATAGGTTTTTGACAGTGAGGTTTTTGACGTGACGGTTTAACCATGGTTCAAACCTTCAAAAACTGTCACATGTCAAAAATCTGCCAACCCTGGTGAAATTGCCTGCGTAACGGATATAGTGAACCGAAATTTCGGTTCCTTATACTTATAATATCTTTCATAGGCTAATAATGTATATGTTGCTAAATGCTATAAATATTTTAACTGTCTTATACTTTACTTAACTGTATAGCATCACTGTGAAAGAAAACTAACTAAAATTTAAGAAATAATTATTTATTATAATTTACTTAAATATATTTTGAAAAATCAACTGATCCAAATCAGTTGTAAGTTGGTGATTTGAATCACTGATTCAAATGATCAAATTAGTACCCAACTCTGATCAATGCATTATTATTTCATAACTTTTTTTGGCTGGGATTTTAAGTTTCTAATAATTAGTTTCAGTAGGACTTCTGTTACTTTGTGATCGCTATTATTTTTCAATTATTTCATTTTAAATTCCATGCAAAAAATTTACATTAAAAAAAAATAATTTTTTTAAACATTTATTCCCTTTTGTAACATCTTTTTATTTTTTAATTCTTTCAATGCATATCATAGTTTTATAAAATTCTATTAATTTTAAATCAATAAATCTACAGTCATTTTACTTTTAAAAAAATTAAAACAAAGTTTCATATTTATTTCATATTCCGTAATTTGTCAATCCAACATTACTTTTTGTATAAATCTTAAGCTGTTTTTAATTTTGAAAAAATTAGACAAAGCTTATGACTGTTTTTACTTTTAAAAAAATCTTAAGTGATAATGTTTTCATTATTTCAAATAAAAAAATTAAGCAATGTTATTGATCTTATAAAAGAATTTTTTATAATGAACATTTTCTTTTGTTATAGATTTTATTTGTTAGAGATTGATTTAAAATTTCTGAGTATTCTTGATTTAAAAGAAACCCTATTCGAATGTTATATTGTGATACAAGGCTAAATCACTCTAAAATTAATGAAATTGGTGTAAAAATGCTAAATGATTTAAAAGGGTTGCCACCGTTATCTGTAGAAAAACATTCCCTGTGTTTACCCTGCACATATCAAAATTTTATTTAAGTTTTTGATTTACAGAAATCCACATCTAATGATCTAATGCGGAATTCTGTGATATTTGAGCAAAATCAGCCCCGCTTTCAGTTTTTAGACCCGGAAGAAAGCATACGATTAACCCGGATTACAATCACCCTGGCCCTATTTTACCCCTATCTAAAATTTCTTCGAATTTTGTTTTTGAAGTTCTATTAAATAAAATTTCAGTTACTGAGAGAATACGTAAAAACATACCTAGGTCTGTCTAGGTTTTTGTGAAAGGTACCTATTTTGTGAAAATTTAGACATAATGTGTGAAAAATCAAAAATTATATTAAAAAATCAATACAAAAACATGGTTAAAATATAGATTTATCGTTTCTTAAGGGATACATAAATAAAATGTCAAGAAAAAGTATTTTGTGAAACTACCGTTTTTCCTAAAGTTGAAATTGTGAAACTACCGTTTTACCTAAAATTGAATTTGTGAAGGTACCGCTAAACGGTAGTAAATTCGGCCTGGACAAACCCCTGCCTATGTAATCATTTCTCCATTTAAATCCAGTGAAAGATAAGGAAAATTTATGCAAGTGATTAATTTGGTTATTTATACACTACCTTCTTAATTATCAAAATTATTACAGAAAAAAATAATATAGCTTTGATGAGTGTTACGAAGGGAAAAAAAATTCTTTTTTAAAGTTAAAACTTCTACTCAATTCATTCTGTAACTGGAATCTGTATTCTGATCTGCCACGCCAACTGCAATCGCCAGCAGTAATACCTTTCGAGTTGGCCCATTACTGTGATTTTTAACAGAATAATAATAGTCTTGGCAGCTTTTGGGCAGAGGCTTGCGGGGAAACTAAAAAAAAAAAAAAATAAAGAAAGGGACAAACTCAAAAGGTATAACTCGTAACTACACCCAGGCAAACATCTACATATTTTTTTTATAAAAAATATGGAAATTTAAAATCTATTTGGCGATTGTTGTTGGCACGACAAATTTCGATACGGAAATATCCCCGAAAATATATTATAGCAAATGCTAAGGAATATTAGTTTGTAAAATATCACACGTTATATAATGCAGAGAAAACAGGGACCTTTTGTACCTTTCTGATATTCGAAAGTAGTGCAAAGTAACGTAAGATTTTTCTGATGATTATGTGCCACTTAGGACGCAAGTTTCAAAACAAACAAAAAAAACATGTAGAAGAGAGTTTACCACCAAATCCAGCAGCTTGTGCAAAAAGTTGTCCCCCTTGTGCACTTGCAGCTAAACTTCTGGACGTGAGTTTCAGAGGTTGACTTGGGACTTTCACACTTTCCTCAGGAACTTTGAAAGGAGCAGCTACTTCTCCACTAACGGATCCAATTACTTGTTTGGATACTTTTATATAATTGCTTAAATTAGCTGGGGATCTCACTAGACAATTCATAGCTTAATTTTCGAAAAAATTTCGAAAATACCAACAAACCGACGAAAGACTTTTTAGGAAGGTCAATAAGAGTTTCAGTTACGATTACAGTTATTGAGGTATAAATTGATCACTTTAAAACAAATGTTTCACAGAACTGGCAATAGATGATTGACCGTACAAAATTAATCACAGGTGTCATTAAAAATTAAAATTAATCCTTAAACTTCCGGGTTACTACTTCCTATTTATATTCACGCTGAAGCTTGAAAATGCGGTGTCGTGTATTTAGCCGCTCGAGGCTATGTTTGTTGTTGTTGTTGTTGTTGTTGTTGTTAATTTACGTCGCACTAGAGCTGCACAATGGGCTANACCAAATCCAGCAGCTTGTGCAAAAAGTTGTCCCCCTTGTGCACTTGCAGCTAAACTTCTGGACGTGAGTTTCAGAGGTTGACTTGGGACTTTCACACTTTCCTCAGGAACTTTGAAAGGAGCAGCTACTTCTCCACTAACGGATCCAATTACTTGTTTGGATACTTTTATATAATTGCTTAAATTAGCTGGGGATCTCACTAGACAATTCATAGCTTAATTTTCGAAAAAATTTCGAAAATACCAACAAACCGACGAAAGACTTTTTAGGAAGGTCAATAAGAGTTTCAGTTACGATTACAGTTATTGAGGTATAAATTGATCACTTTAAAACAAATGTTTCACAGAACTGGCAATAGATGATTGACCGTACAAAATTAATCACAGGTGTCATTAAAAATTAAAATTAATCCTTAAACTTCCGGGTTACTACTTCCTATTTATATTCACGCTGAAGCTTGAAAATGCGGTGTCGTGTATTTAGCCGCTCGAGGCTATGTTTGCGAACTAACATATCACGCATGCGCAATCGAGTCTGGACTTCCCCTCTAAAGTTTCAGTTTAGATTCCTCCTCACCTGTTAGTGTTGCGTTAAGACGCATCTTCTGTATTCTAAATTTTAAATGTTGTAAATAATTAATAAATAGTGCTTGTTATATGTGAGAGTGTTATTTCCTTAAACCCCAATCTATGGAACAGTACAAGAGGACTTTCCAATAATATTATGCTTGTAATGTTTACAATAAAACGCTTTCTTTTGATTTAACTTTCAATGAAACAAACAACAAGCGAATTCGAAAGACTCCATAAAATTCATATGAAAGACATACATATGATGCTACCCAAAAAATAAGAAACGTTGATATTTCACGAAAATATAACCAAATATGAGTAAATCCTATTTGGCTATCCTATAGGTTAGATCTACTATTTCTAAATACAAAAACCTTAAATATTTCTAAGTTCAAAACAGTTTAAACAATAGTAAAAAATACCACAAAATATTTCTATGTGCAAACAACTTCAGAATTTTTCAAAGTTCAAACAACATGAAAATATCATAGACCAAAACTTTAAATATTTCTAAGTTCAAAACAGTTTAAAAAATAGTCAAAAATACCACAAAATATTTCTCTGTGCAAACAACTTCAGAATTTTAAAAAAAATCGAACAACATGAAAATATTTCTTTGTTAAAGAGCGAATAATAGCTGAAAAGGGGGAAAAAAACCATCTCCAGGTGCACGCACACGTCACACCCTGTAACTCCCTTTATTATTATCCTATAATTTTCAAACTCGGGCCGAAACTATGTAATGTACCGGACAATCGTATTAAATTATATTTTTATAGACCAATTAGGGGGCCCACAATGGGCCAAAATTGGTTTTGTTGACTAACCGGAAGGAAGTGCTTCAAGCTAAATATGCGCAGATGCTGTGTGTGAAGCGTGGAACAGTTGGTAGCGCGATGGGCACGTTAGATTTATAGACCTGGAGGTCCTGAGTGGTTCGATACCGGGTGAGGATTAATTTTTTATTTATTTTATATTATTTTTTTATTATCTTTTTCGATAATTTAACGTGAATAAAGTGCTCTATATCTAAAAATAACTATTTTTTCTTTGGGAAAAAGCGAATAATAGCTGAAAAAAGGAAAAATTAATTTATTCGAAATGTATCCATTGTTTTGCAATTATCGTTGTTTTTCAAAGGAAAAATAATCCGGACATCGAATCTAGGACCTCCGGGCCTACAAATCTATTTTGCCAGCAGCGCTACCAACTGCGCCACGCTTTTCACGCAGTTTCAGGGAATATTTAGCTTAAAGCACCTCCGTCCGGTTAGTCAACAAAACCTATTTCGGCTCATTTTGGGCTCCATAATCAGTCTATAAAAAGATTCTTTGGTACGATTATTTGGTACATTAGACTCTAATTTCGGACAGAGTTTAAAAATTACAGGTTTATATTAAAAAGAGTTACAGGGCTTGACATGTGAGTGCCTCCGGAGGCGATTTTTGTCCCTTTTCTTAACTATTATCCGCTCTTTAACAAAGATAGATACTTATTTTTTATATGTAGAACACTTTATTCACGTTAAAATATTGAAATAGAAGTTAAAAAAATAATATAATATAAAATAAATAAATATATAAAAAATTATTCGAAATTTATCCGTTTTTTGCTATTATTCACTGCTTTTCAGATGAAAAGTAATAATTTTTATATATAGAGCTCTTTATTCACGTTAAAATATCGAAGAAGATATTAAAAAAATAATATAAAATAAAATACTGAGTAAAGCAGTGATTCTCAACCTGTTGGGCGCGCCCCCCTAGGGGGGCGCGAGCACATTAGAGGGGTGGAGCGAGAAAAAAGATTATTTAAGAAAAAAGATTCAAGAGAAAATATTATTTAAAAATAAATGATTAACTGTATGAAAGGAAAGCGCACAAACACATAGAAAACAAAATACATTTCGACATATTTAATAATTTATTAAAGTGAAACAAATTATTGAATCAAAACTTAAGGTAGGGAGCCAAAAATGGCTTTGCTTTGAGGATTTTTCCTAATTTTCAGGTGAAGTCTGTGTGGCTGAATTTTTTTTTGTAACATCGTACACCTATCTCTAATATATATCACGTATACTTTTAATTGTAAAATTAAATTTCATTTATTTTATAGTACAATTTCAAAATTGTAGCTTCTGCGCCTAAAGTTTCCCACAGGTTTCAAAGGTGAGCCATATATTGAAATCACTTTTTCACTTACTCAAATTATCCTTAGAAAAAACATTTAGACTGGCAAACGTCTTTTAAAAGGGCACTTTAAGTGTCTTGTTGGTAGGAACAAGTTTCCCGATTTTGAAAAAGATATTTGTTTTTTCAGAGTGTATAATTTGTTTATTGATTTAACATTGATAGTTCTTGTGTGAAGTCACTAGCGATTCTTTTAATCTTTATTACTGAGTTAATTTTTTCAAAGGGATTAACTAACAAGAATTAAATAACCGTACTAGAGTTAACTAACCTAACCCATAACTAGTATAAAAATACCCATATTTACAAGAAAATACCAGAATCGACCACAAAAACACTCATAATTACCAGAAAAATAAAAGAAATACCTGAAAAATTACTTAGAAATGCAAACAATACAAAAAACTCACAACGAAATATCGCAATTTCTGCTAAAATGCAGAGAACGTCAAAATGTTATAAAAGTTTAAAAAATACCAAAGTTCCATATTTGCTTAACATGAAATAAATCAATTGGCATTCAATTCAATCATTCCTCTTTGAGAAATAATATGTTACGTAATGATTTATAATGAACTCTTTTATAGATTTCACATTTGTTTCCGAAGGTGGCCCCTGTGTCCCCAAGAGGGCACCGGTGTCGGGCCACCTTGGGAGCATGCATATGGTCACCATTTGCACGACTTAAAACTATTAATCTGATAGATTAATTAGAATTAAAGTAATGTGGTTAAAGAAAAAGAAATAAACTTTCAAAGTTCTAAGAATTTGAACATATATAAATTACAATATCTTCTCACCCGGAAATTAGAACAACTGCAAAAAATTAAATCACTTCATAGAGTGGAGGCCATTCAAGGAAATATTTTCCAATTCAGCCTCGAGCACCTCAGATACAAGATTTACAATGCTGCAGGGACGTCTTATGATTCAAAATAAATTTAATTTTACTTTGGGGGGTGGGCTACGTTAGGAGCACTGACCACCTTTGCCTTACCCACCTTACTTAATCAAAGGATACTAAATTTAAAAAAGAAATTAATAATTTTTAGTGACTTCTTTGTGCCCAAAGAGCGGAAAAGATTATTTATCTCAGGGTTCTCATTTTTATATAATATGCAATCGTTGCAACCATAGTTAACACAATATTAAAACCAGGGACGCATTTCTTTTGAAGCCAAAGCTTCTCTGTGGATCATGCAATGTGTCCAGACGCATGGAGGCGATTTTTTACAAGTTTACAAGTGCTTGTATACTTTAAAACCTTCCGGATATTGAACGAGCACCATCGGTGCATATTCCGATGCAATTTTTGCATTCTATGTTTGCCTCATTCATAACTTCATTTGAAATAGCAAATAATGCTAGCGCTGTTGTTTTGAGTTCTATTGATTTGCAGAAAAGTAGTTTTACTACTGACATATTATCACAAAATCAAGCATAGACAATTAAATGAGCATCTTTATTATGCTTCATCAAACTGTATTGAAAACATATTGTCACGCAACATCAAGAAAAGCTGACACTACATTTTAAGCTGTATCACCAATTCGAGGAGCAACAATATCGTTTGAAAGAGGACGGTAATTCTTTTGAAAAATTAACTCCAAACATAGTTTCTGCAATCTCAATTGCTACTGGCTTTTACTTTACTTTTGTTTTGGCAGTTAGTTAAAAATATTTTAAATACAGAATTCAAAATACTCAATATACATTATTGTTGTATACATTTTACTGTAAGTGGGGGGCGCGATGAAAATTATGATTGAAAACTGGGCCGCGAATACTGAAAGGTTGAGAACCGCTGGAATAATGTAACGAAAAATTGTAACAAAACAATTTTTTTATAGACCAATTAGTGGGCCCACAATGACCCAAAATATGTTTTGTTAACTAACCGGGAGGAAGTATTTTAAGCTAAATATTCGTGAGGCTGTCTGTGAAGCATGGCGAAGTTGGTAGCGCTTTGGGAAAGCTGGATTTGTTGTCCCGAAGAACCTGGGATGGAAACCCTGCGAAGGTCGACATTTAAATTTTTTTTATTTATTTTATATTATTTTTCTTATATATTTTTCCATATTTTAACGTGAATAATGTGTTCTGTATATAAAAATGACT